TTAGCCCCGGCCAGGGGACTGGTTGGTTGGTTGGTTGGTTGGTTGGCTGGCTGGCTGGCTGGCTGGTTGGCTGGCTGGTTGGCTGGTTGGTTGGTCAGCTGGGCGGCCGCATCCCCAGCATCACCGGCCTCGCCCTGCCTATTGGTTTTGATTTGTTGGCAGTTCAGAGTTCAGAGCTGCTCCGGGCTGATTTCGGGTGATTGTTGGGCTTGCTGAGGTCTCATATAATGAGGGCGGGTCTTTGGTTTGGGTTCATTTAGGCTTTGTAAAGGGCTGATATCCTGGATGGTGGGAGGGTTTAAGGTTGTCTTTGAGTCGGTTTGGGTTGGCTTGGAGCTGATTTGGGCGAGGTGCGGCCCGGTTTTTGCACTAGCCTTTGGGCTGCTTCAGGGCGTGGTTGCGCAAGTTTTGGGCTGGTTGGGGTGGTTCCAGCCAAAACTTGCGCAACCACGCCCTGAAGCAGCCCAAAGGCTAGTGCAAAAACCGGCGCAAATCAGCCAAGCCAACCCAAACCGACTCAAAGACAACCTTAAACAAAGCCTAAATGAACCTCAAACAAACCCAAGACCCGCCCTCATTATATGAGACCTCAGCATCCGAGCGAGGCCAGTGATGCTGGGGATGCTGGGGATGCGGCCCACCTGTTGCCAACTCAACCTGCAAGGGCGGCCTTGTGCTGAGCCGGGGCTCCTAAAAAAGCCACCTCAACCCCACTTGGATCCACTTGGGAAGTGACTCTGTGAATCCTGCAAAATTGGTTTTGAGCCCGTTTTCGGCAGGGATGGAGTTGAGATCACCTCACACAAACCGCCGGTTGACAATGCTGCCAGATGTAGCAGCTTGCCCTGGCGATGAAACAGGAGTACGGGCTTAAGTAGTGGAATCCGGTGTGTGTGTGTGTGTGGATAAGTTAAGTTGCGGGGAGTGGGTAGTTGAGAGCCCATTCCTTGAGGTTCCAAAACAGGTTCCTCAAGGAGCTTTTGGGAAACGACTCCCACCCCATTCCCTGACTTTTGGCTGCGCACACCCAAGTCCCAAGGTGGGTGCCTGCCAACCTCATCTCTTACAAGTTCGTGCCTCCTCGCCTTCGCCGCGTGGCTTTTGCGAACGGACGGGGCGTTTTCTCGACTGCTATTGGGTTGGATCTTTAGACTTTAACTTTTTGGGAAATGAAGGGGTTTTCCACAAAACCCCCCCCCAAAGTGATACTTTTTGCAGGGGGGTCAACAGCAACCAAGTTTTGTTTCTTGAGTTGGAACATTTGAAGCAGCTGTGTGCCGCCAGGTTTGTCCATCATTTGGCTGCTAGAACGGATCCCTGAAATGGCACCTTGGTAAATGGACACAAGGACTAAAACCTGCGGTTTGCCCAAGGTCTTGCATGTTGTGCCACACAAGTTTGAGCCAAGACCGAGAAGCTGAAACTTTTTGTGGTCAGTCAACTCAGCTTGTCTGAGGGGTGGGGGCATGCGTTGCAGACATCGCAAGTTTTCTTGACGGAAGAGGGAATTGAGTGATTGCGGCGCATTGAAACAGCCACCTTTTGCAGGCAGATTTCACATGAAGACAGCATGAAACCAATTCAATGGGTACACACAAACACACAGCGAAAATCCGGCGGTCCATGGAAACAGCGTAAAACCATTCCAATCTCTCGCCTGAGGCGTGCTCTTCGCGAACTTTGTGGCAGTCTTTTGGATGCCCCTTTGGACGAATTGGACCGCAAAACATGTTGCGGGCAAGTTTTTTTTTTTGGGGGGGGGCCACCGGCGAGTCTAAGGCGGTTCCTTTTTCCTTTTCCCTGCCCCTTTCTTGTGGGTTTGGGCAGACAAAAGGAATCGGGTTCCCCCTTTATATAAGGGGGGGTCTGGGTTTTCAGGTGTCCAACAAGACCGGACGCCCCAAAGACTGGGGGCCCAATTTTCTGACACCGCTGAATTAAAGGAATATGGAAGAAAGGGATGTGTCAAAATTGCCCCCCCCCGTTCTTTTGGACGGTGGGGGAAACCAATAGGAAGCCCACCTGCCCCGCATCTTGAGGCGTCACCCACAAATTTTCTCCAGGCGATGCGGACCCTCCCGAAACTCGATGAGACCCACCAGACGATGCCCGAAAGTGTCTGAAGCTAGGTTCACTTACCCAGACGCTCGAATTCGAATGTAGGGCCCTCAAACAGCCAGGTTTTGCCCCCCAACACCTCCGGGTTTCTCAAGGCGGGGTTGGGTGTTCCATTGATTGAAAGCAGGAGCCTTTGGGTAGAAAAAATGGGCTTCTCTGGTTCAGATTGATTTTGTGGGCCATTTACCAGGGAAACCCATCCATTTTTCCGAAAGGTCACGTATGACAATGCCCTTTGGGCTTCATGTGCAAGACCCGCGCAAGTTATCGCAAGAGGGCTGACATTTTGGATCTTTCGGAGATTTATTTCGGATCGAGCACAAAAGGCGGTTTTCCCGTTTAAGCAACTTCACTGCTTGTTGGCAGGGTATTTGGTTTTTAGGCCGCTCGGTTCTGTTCATGTTTAGGGGGTTACTAAAAACCAGTGCTTGTTTTTTGCTGGAAGCCCATAAGGGATGCAAAGACAACTCCAAGAGGGTATATACCAACTCCAACAATTGCAAACCACTTTCAGTTTGAGGTGGTCTAGCCCTTCGGGCCCGCGAAATGTCCAGACGTTGAGGCTCTTCCTCATTTGGAAGACGTCCAAGGCTTCGGCAGGCACGGCTGTTGGAACAAAAAGAGGACCCATGTGAGCAAACACTCAGTATTCAAGTGCCGTTTTTTGGTTGTTTGGAGTGGTGGTTTGGGGATTTGAGCCCCTAGCTTTTGTGCATGCAAACCACCAATTGGAGGGAAGCTGAAATATTGCTGGTGGTTTGTTCAACGGAGAGGACGAGAAGGGTACCCAGTATCCCTGTTTCCTCACACAAAAACGGGCGCCTACCCAATTGAACCAACTGCAAGCAATGCTGTCCGTGAGGGTTTGTCAAAATCGGTATTGTCTATGGTTCATTTGGAAGGGGCATGCGGGAATTCACTAAATTCCTGCAAACTCATTTTTTTTGTACCATCCTTGCTTGTCCTTTTCCCCCTCGTGGTTCTTGTGAGACACTCAGTTTACTTGGCACAGGTGTCCTTTTTAGCTTAGTTTGCTTGTTGAAAGATGGGTTCCACTGGTTTAGATTGGTTTTATGCCCCATTTACCAGAAACAAAGCCATGTATTGTTGTCCAAAAAGGTCACCTATGTTCCTTGGTTGCAGTTGTCTCACGAGAAGGATTCAGTGGATCCAGCGATAGCATTTTGGCAGCGTTAGGCCCTTTGCCTTGGCGAGGACCTCATCTAATCGGACTTGTGGGAAGACCATGTGGCCAACGGCTCTAGGGGAAGACCATTTCGTGGCCAGCAAGATCGTTTATTTTGCATGCCCCAAACCGCCGAGGAAATCCACCTGACTTCTAGGTCCCCCAGTATACCGTGTTTTTTTGGGGAGGCTTCCCGTACTAAAATACACTACAGAAAAAAGGGGCACCCTTACCCTAACCTCTCTACTGGAGGACCTAGATTTTGTTTTTCTCCGGGGCGGCGCCATGCGTGGCCATGTGCCGCCCGCCAATCGTCGCCGCCCGCCGTGCGGAGGCCAGCGCAAAGCGCGGTGAGACGAGTGAGAGCGGGCGGAGAAAAAAGAGGGCGTCAGTGCGAGCAGGGCCGATGGGCCGATCGGCTCGACATCTTTGCCGATCGGGTTCTCAAAGCTGGGAAAATTTGGTTCCAGGTGGTCTCCTTGGATCTTTCCTTTAACACTTCATCCAACAGGTCCGATTCCTATTTTGAGAAACCCCCTTAATGAACAAAGGAAAGGCACGAATACATCCTTTAGGGCTCAACGTTTGCTGGCAATGGCAACCCCGGATTAATCAACCCTTGTTTATTAAGATGGGGGGTGCTTCTCCCTGGGTTTAGTGGGGAATCAGACCACTTTAGCAGGGGAACTTGGGTTGATTCAAATAATGCCAACATTATTTCCCTGTGGTGGGGTGCTTTCTTTTGCGGCTGGTTTCGAAACCGGCCCTCTCCCCATTGCTAGGTGGTACCAAGATCAAGGCACCTTATTTCATAGGGTCCGAGCTCCCTCCCTAACCTCCAAACATGGCCTTGTGTTTGGAGACCTATGATTATTCAACAAACCAAACAGGGTCTGAGGAACCCATAAAACTAGAAAAGTTTGGGTCTTGCGATTCGCATTCCTTTACTTTTGGCTCGGGTTTATCAATCCGGGATCGACATTGTAGTTCTGACCAAATTGTTGGTGTTTGAGTCTCCCCCAAATTCTCGCCCCCCCACCCCCGGCGGCCGCTGCATTCTGATTCTCCAGGCCCCTTTTGCCAGATTGTTTTTAGGCATCCTTCTTTGAAAACCCATGAAAAAACACCTGACAAAATGGCGATTGGTTTTTGAACAGAATGGCTGAAAAGAATGGACAAGGACTCAACCCCCAGAAGCCCAACTTCCTCGAGCCCAAAAGCTCCTGAACCTTTCAATGGAAGACCCGACCCCTCCATAGAATCTGGTCGGGTGTCTAGTGAGTCACCCCTGTAGACTCCTTTACCATTAGGAATCAACCACTAGGAAAAGGAGAAACATTCCTCCGTTTGCAAGCCCCAGGAGAAAACAATATATATCCAGCAGTGATAGATTCCCTTCAAAACCAACAGGGAGAAACCCCCTAGATTGTTGCCTGGTCGTCGGCCCTTTTTTGCTGACAAGGAATCAACCGCTAGATTCAACCCCCCTGCGCGAATCTAGGGGTTGTTCCTCCTAGGGGACAAGGAATCAAGCCCTAGAATACCCCTCTTCATAGAACCACAAGTAGACTTGGTGAGGCGAGGAACAAAAGCCGAAACAGTGGGGAAGGCCACGATCTGGTTAGAGTTTGGCTTTTGATCTGGTCACCGGCTTTTGAACACCGGACAAGGAATCAAGCCCTAGAATCCCTGCTAGGTTCTCAAGGTGGAGCCCAACAACGAGGAGGCGAAGCGCCGCCCCTCGACAAGAAGGAAGCTCCGCAGCACGCGTCGCCTCTGGGGTTTTTGATGTGGTTTTCTAGGTCCCCCAGCTAGGTGCCCTTTCTCACCGTTTCCTTTTTTGGGGGAGGGTTCCCCTACTAAAATAGACTACAGAAGTAAGGGTCCCCTTATTCTAACCTCTCTACTGGAGGACCTTGTTTTCCTGCGGAGTGCTGCGTAGATGGATCAAAATGCTATGAAACATGGGTGATTGCTCATGGGGCAAATTCCCTGGTTTGTGAGTTGTTTTAGGGTTCAGGTGTGTTCTTTTCCTGGACCCAGTGGGTTGGTTTTAACGAGAAATTCACAAGACACCAACCAGCTTTGGGGAGTCAAGAGACACACCCAAATAGCAACCCTGTTTCAGAAAACAAAGGGAAGCCAAAAGTGGATCTCTGCCTGACCTCCGCCCAGCAAAGCAACCGCAGTCTTGACAAACAAACAGAACTACCAGCAGAACCTTAGGTCTTGAGTCAAGCAGTCAGGGCCATCTCCAGTGGTGACCTTGTTGTTGGAAGTACCCACGTTTGACACCATGTCTCTAGGGGTAACTTCCAATTCTTTCCAGGGATCCTTCTTTCTAGAAAACCACAACAAACCTGGGGAAATGGCTGGTTTTTGCAAAGAACGATGGCTGAAAAGAATGGGGAATCAACCCCTACAATGACGTCACTGTAAATCAAGAAAAAAAAACCTTTGTGTGTCCTCAAAAATGGCTCATTGTGGGCCTCTTGAAAGGCGTGGCCAGGCATCTCGATCCGCCTTTGTGCGTCTGGCGATGCTAGCATCACCAGCATCACCCAGAAAAAAAAAGGCCAGGCGCAGTGCGAGCACCAACGGCGAGAAGTCAAGTAAGCGACCCCAACTAAAAGCTCGTCATCATGGGTTTGTTGTGCCTCTAACTGTGGCCACGCAGTTCGCAGCTCGAAAATTGCCACCTTTCAGCACCAAGTGCGCTCTGGCAGCTGCTCAAAAATCGCAATTGTACCGCACGAAATAAACTCTTCAGATGCTATGTCTCCCCTTCCGCCCAATTACGAGCCGCTTCGGATTGAGGCCGGGAGGTGCTGCGGAAGTCCATGCACCCAGCGGCGGCGGCAAAAGCCGAAGCCGAACCAACTGAAGCCGAAGGCACGGACCTCAGCTTGGGCCTACTGGGTCCTCCGTCTCCGGGTTATTTCTCTGTGTTTCCCTTCTAAAATTGGTAGTCTCCGAAATTTACGTTAAATGTCCATGATTTGGAAGATCCAGGGTGCCTGTTTTATAGGTTGGTTTAATAAGGGAGACCAACATGATAACCTTTGGATTCTGACGCATACGGGTCCTATATTTTTGGCGGGAGAAGGCGCAGGGAATCTTTGCCAAAGCCGAGCCGGGGTCCCCTTCAGTCCTTAAATGGGTGTGTGTCAACTAAGCAAGGGCGGTTTTCCTTTCGGTCTCCCCCTCACACACCGTATTTTCCCATAAAAGGCTATTTTGCGGCAGACGTGTTTGTTTCGTGGCTGGACACTCGGGAAGAGGACTGCTCCGACGACGGGCTGCTGGGGCTGATGGAAATCCGGGCTGCGCTGTGCACGATGACGACGGGCTTTGTGGTTGAATTTACGGGCGAGGGAGCGATGGCAGTTGTGCGGCGGGATCGGGGCTGCGCCGTACGGAAGGTCGACGGTGACGTAGCTGGTTCGGCGCCGTGTCGTGGCCGTGCCGTGGGATGAGGACCGCGATGCTGACGGGGCTGCGGTTGCTTCGTGGCGTGCCATGTTGAAAAGGCTCCGGAAGGGGGCCGCAATGACAAAGGGCTGAAGGGGCGTGGTTGCGGAAAAGGCTCCGGAATAACAAGGGGACGGTGATGACATCGGTTGTCGCGGCAGATGTGGTTGTTTTGGAAATGGCTGCGAAGGGGGACCACGATTAGAGGGGACGTGCTACACAGAAACACAACAGGTGTGGTGCCCGTGCCGTGTGCCTGATGTTTTATGCGCGATGTATAGCGATGACTCAGGACTGACGTGGCAATGTCGTGGCTTTGCTCCCAGCTGCTGTTACCGTTTTGCTATATATATATATTATGGCATGGGGCTGCGCCGTGCGGAAACACGCTGACGTAGCTCACTCAGGGACGTGTCGTGGCTACGCCGTGGTTGCGGGGACTGGCGTGGGTGGCAAATTACGCGGGAAAGTGTTTCATGGAGCCCTTGGACTAACTTGCGAGCAACTTGCGCAGGGCCATCTGTGCAGACCAACTTGTGCAGAGCAACTTGCGTCGAATCACTTGCGCAGACCAACTTGCGCAAAGCAGTTTGACCAGAGTATTTTGCACGGAGCCGTTTGCACAGAGCCAACTTGCACAGAGCAAAGTGCGCACAGTCATCTGCGCAGAGATACTTGCGCAGAGCAGCTTGCGCAGAGTAATCTGCACAGAGCTACTTGCGCAGAGCAATTTGCACAGAGCCATCTGCACAGAGGTAAGTAGTACGGGCCAGCTTGCACAGAGCAACTTGCCCAGGGCGATTTGCACAACCACTCGCACAGACCCATCTGCGCAGAAAACACTTGCGCAGAGCAACTTGCACAGAGCCATCTGCACAGAACTACTTGCAATTTGCGCAGAGCCAGGAATTTCATCGAGGCAAAGTAGTCTGGAAATAGTCTGTTTCGGCACGATAGTTTGGCATGAGTAGTGGTTTGAACAGTCTGTGTAAAGAGTCTGGGTAAAGAGCTTGGTGTCAAAGGTCAGGTCAATTCTTGGACTCGGCGCTACCAGCTATGAAAGTCAAGGTTGAGAATCTTCCGTGAGAGAGCTGGGTAGAAGAACGCAAGAAGGGTTGGGGTGGTGCAGGACAATTTCCCCAGTTTCTGCAGCGAGAGCGACCCTCTGCGGGGACCGGCGTCGATGTCAAAAAACCGCGGACTCTTCAACATGCCCACGCAACCCTCTGCGGGGACTAACTTGCACAGAGCTACTTCCACAGAGCCAGTCACTTAGGCAGACCAAGTTGCGAAGAGACTTCTGCGTAGACCAACTTGCGCAGAGGCATCAGCATAGAGGCGAGTCGTCTGGGAATTGTCTGGGAAAGTATAGTCTGGGTAAAGAGCTTGCGCGTCAAAAAGGTCGAATGCTGCGGCTCGGCTATGAAAGTTGTTTCTATTTGCGCAGAGGAATATTGCACAGAGAATCGCAGACCACCTGCGCAGAGCAGCTTGCGCAAGGCGCTGGCGCAGAGCACTTACGAGGAGCAACTTGCCAATAATTTCTTGGACACACACTTTGCGCGGGGCCGCGCAAATTCTATGTCTGGCAGACCTGCGCAGAGCAAGCAGCTTGCGCAGAGCACAAGTGCACAGAGACGCCGCAACAACAACTTGCACGAAGCGAGCAGATCACTCCAAAAGAGCCACAATCGCAAAAGGCAAATTACCTTCGCAGAGAAGTTGCGCAGAGAAACTAACAACTTGCGGACAGCATCTTGCAGCGCGACTGCGCAGTCACTTGCAAAGCTGCACTTGCAAAGAGCCAAGTCTGCAGATTCTTTAGCTCATTATGCGGAGCACTCTCATGTTTATTGGGCGCTTGTTTTCATAGCGGTGGGAAAATCGGGGGCTGCGCAAAACATGGCGGCAACATGCTTTCGGTCCAGTCGTCCTCTAGGTTGGTTCCTTGATCGTTTCTACACTGGAGGGGGTTGAGTTTGTCAATTCGGCAAAATTGTGGAAACAACTGGCCCCGGGCATCCTTACGCAAAGCAAAACGAGGTGTTTTAATCGGCCCGGTGTTGTCAACCATGCATGTCCTGAAGGGCTGGTTGCTTCAGCAATTCCATTACTTCATCAGGAAACAGGTGACTGGCGGTGTCACACCGCGCCCACAAAGGCGTTTTTAGATGGGCTCAAGCTGTCGTAGAGCATCTGCGAGAGGCGCGGGGCGCAACATGCCGAGTGAAGAAATAATTGAAATAATGCTCTTGAGCTTCAGCGCGAACCTGCTGTTTCAAGACATGCTGTCGCGGCGCCTGGGCTGTCAACATGGGGATTTCCAGGAGTAAAACAGCTGGCGCTCAGCGAGAATCTCATGCCAGATCTCGCGGCCAGCTTGCCCCAAAGAGAGATTGCCATGAAAAGGCTCCCTTTGGCAGCAGCATCCTGCACCTTGGATAAAATTTTCAACGGCGTGCCGTCTGACTTCGTTGGAGCAAAAAAACAATTTGCAAAAAGGGCCGGGCTGTGCCGCGAGCAGATGCCAGGCACACTGACCTTCAGGGTGTCAGAAAAACATAATTGCGTCTCGTTCCAGACGATGGTTTCGCGCCTTGCCCAATAATTGCAAGGTTCCTGGGCTTGTGTTGCAGGGCTTGTTTTGAGAGGCAGACCAGCCGTCACGGTCGGAGTGCGCGGGCTCTTGAAGGCTTTAAAAGGGTGATTTTTCGAAAACTAAGTGGGGGTGTTGCCCACGCACGGGACTAGGTCCCTGCAGTGCACGTCGGCTCTTCAAACAAAATCATCCCAACGCAAGGCGTCCGGCTCACAGGCGGGAGCGCCAACTGCAATGACAGTCCGAAGGTGAAGCCTGCCAGAGTGGGCAGAGCCAAACTTGTTTCGCGTCAAAGCAACATGATGCTTCTTATGACGCTGCCCACCAACGTGCCAAAAGCTTTGTTCACACACGATATTCCTCTATGTGTGCGCCAAAACATTGCCCCCATTTGCAGCGTTTGTCTCAAGATGCTGAAACCCCGTGCAACCTTCCCAAGCTTACGGTTTTGAGGCTGTGCAGGGAGGGGTGGAGAAGTGTTAGCATCTTGAGCAGGTCCTTGAATTGAGCCTGCGAAAAGTTATTCCCCAGACCTCCAGGGCCTCTTTGTCTTTTCTTTGGAGGCGTCTCTTCACCAAGCGCCCAAAGCAGAGTACTTTATTGCTCTGGGATTCTTTAGCCTGTGATGTGCCTGAAGCCTTCTTGGTCGGCATCCCATGAAATCTGGAAGTAGAACCGGGGGTAAGACGGGCGATGGGCCCTATATTATAGGCCCTTGATCAGAACACAGAGCCAGTTTGCCCCAACTTGGTTCACCAGCGTGCACAGGCCTGCACACTCCTTGAGTACGCTTTACCTTCCAGCCAGCGCTGCAACTTTCCAGCCCCGCTTTCAAAGCCGGCACGTGCTGGTCTTGGACTTGCTTCAGTGGCTGTTTTGTTGCATCCCCCTTCCTTACTTCTGCTTAAAATGCTAGCGGCCCAGTCCTCACCGAGAGTGTCCACCACACAAAAACACCTCGCAACTCGCAAACCAGGGCTGGTGCGCGCGTGCCATGTAAGATCAATGGGCTGCTGCGCAAACTGCCCAGCGGTTTGTGTGGCTTTGAATGCCTCATCGCTTCAAACCAGTGAACAAATCAGCCTTTCGTTTGAATTCCGCAAAGCGGAAGAAGAAGAGCGCGCTGACGGACGGCGTGGTTGCTGGTGAACTCTGCACTTGCACAATTTGCAGCCGAACCCGCAACAACACAGGCCCGCATAAGCCAAACATGCACGCGCTTGCGGCGCACTTAAGCATGCTGGTACAGATATCTTTGCGTGACGATTGAGGTGCAGTTGAGTCTGCATTCTGCTCACTGACCCCACACCCGGCTTAGAGTTTCCAACCTCGCTGCAAGTCGCTTAAGGTGTGTGAAGATTGGGCACGTGCTTCAGAACCCGCCGATCCGTATTTCAGAAGACAAAAAACGTTTCAGAAGTAGCCCCGGAACCCGCTTCGGCGTGCTTTTTCTCTGAGCTGAACAACATACTTCCCAGCCTGTGTAGGGATTCAAGGCCGCAGCCTTGGTCTGCAGTGATTTGCTTCAGTGGCTGTTTGTATTGCACCAAGGCAGGCAAGCGGTTGATGGGAATGGGACATTTTCTGGAGGAGTGCTAGATGGAGCATGTTGCCTTGACTTGAGCAAAGCATGGAGCCGTTGGGCACAACCAGCTTGGCTGTGGCCAGAACATCACGGACAGCTTCAGCTTCAGACTGCCGCAGCTTTGATTTGGAGTCCTTGTCTTGCCTCAAGTGCTGGGCCTTGTCGGGCGTGCCAACCAAGTAGCTGAGACGCGCGTGTCACGCCTTTTCTCAGGCTGCTTGGCACGAGGCTGCAGGG